GTCAGCTCGGAACAGCTGACACATTTTGTCAACTGTTTTGTCACCCAATCGAACAAATCTTTTCGGCCATCAGCACATAGCTTAGCATCTATCAGAGCAGGAACAATGTATGGTAGCTGAAAATGTACGTTGTTAGGAAACATAAAGATTGAAGTAAAGAATCGTACCATTTTATCAAGCTGCAAAACCTCGGCCCATCCATCCAGCGTCTTGATAACTGCTTCTCGCATAAGTTTTTTATTGTCTCCTAGACATTTTAGAACGTCCGCGAGAACACCCTGCACCAGCGGAAAAATTGTCGTCTCTATAACGAAACAAAGCACATAACCAACCTTACTGTTTTTGTCAACAGCAGGACCCATTGCTGCAGCTAGACTTCCAAGAGTCGAAAGTGTCATCATCACAAGGTTTTTGTTTGAATCATTCAACCGTCCTTTCAAAGCTCCAAACAATTCTCCTGAAAACTAGAAATTAGCGAATATCATGAAAGTCAGCAGAAATTACCTGTCCCGGTCGCTTGGATTCTCTTGTTCGCCTCCTCAATTATCCGGTTTACAGTTTCTATGGACTCCTGCCGAATCTTCCATTCCGGACTTCCAAGGTTTTTCATCAAAGTTGCTGACAATTTCCCGCTGACATCTTCACGCGGTAAACCATCACTTCCAGCAATAGGAGCTCCGTCATCAGCGCCACGGACTGTTCTTTTCGGGGCAGCGGGACCCTGAAACATTTACGACATCAATGAAGAAATCGTGAAGGGTCTGTACTACCTCATAGGGATTTTTCTCATATTCGGTATCCAAAGCACTTTGAAGAGCAGGTTTCACATCCGTCAAAAAATTCTTCAAGCCTGAAACAGAACTTAAAAACGTAAGCTTTATATTCAACATCATTGTCTGAAAAACCTGGCCCAACAAACTTGTGAAGAACCCCAATAAGCTTGATAGTTGCATTCCTTGTGGCAGGTGCACTAGACTGCAATCCCACATCTTTGCAAAATTCTATCAAGTCCTGCATCACAAGTCGAGCATCAATACCATATCCACAAACTGAAGCAACAGTTACCTTCAACTTAATATGGCTAATGCCGAAGTCCTCGATGCCAGTAATCATCCATGACAATCCCTCGCTGAGAACTTTGGGATTTCTGTGCTCTTTCATAATCTTATACATCTGCAAGCACCCCTGGATCAATAACATAAAAAAAATCAACAACAGATACCTTATCAAATACAAAATTTGGTCCCGCGACTTCACAAAATACGGTAAGGCACCTAGTAGCTTGAGCTCGTGTTTTGATATCCGACGATCTTTCAGCCAATCCTGACGATCCGAGGCCTCAGTTCGGACTTCAACAGATAACAAAGTCCGTCTTACCAGGTAAACAAAGCATAACTGCTTTCTTGGAAAAACTTGTTGCTCTCTCTGCTATATGGCAGACAACTTCAATAACTTTCTGCTGAACCTGAAAGAAACACGTTTGTGTAAAGAGTTTTTGAACAGTAAGAAAATACCTGGACATTTTTCTCAGCCCAGCCAGGAAGTACGGAAAGGAGTCGCACTAGAATTTCACTATCTTTGTTGATCTCAGGTAACCCCTCCACAGTTTCTTTAAGGGAAGTCATAGCTAAAAAAGAACAGGCTCAGAATATACAGAAATATAGTCAACGAAATCCAAACCTTCCAGGCGTTCCTTCCAGACAGCGCTTTTTAAGTTCTCAATTATTTCTGGCTGCACAATACTTCCGACTCTCGACTCAATCTCCTCTAGAGACATTTCGCCGACTTCAATATCGTCGTTTGCTTCCACTGTAGCATCTCCCTTTTTCGAGACAGTTACCTTCGTTGACCCAGTCTTTTTCACACTCTAGCACAAGGACAAGTAGTTTATGTTAGCTTCTACTCAACAAAATCACGTAATCGGTGATACCTGGGTTGGAGCAGTAGGCTTTTTGCCAGACAACAAACTCGCAGCGGACTTTTTAACAACTGCTTCCGAATTCTAAAATCACGTGTGAGAAATTAAGTCGCGAGTTTAAGTAAACACTTACTTCATCTGTGCTCCTGGCCACGACTATAGGAAAGAATAAATGTTAAGTTGCCACAAAATATCTAAGCAGTGCTACCTGAAGTGGAGCTAGGCGTAGAAGTGTTCGAACCGGGACCGGAACCAATCATTTCAGTCAGCTTCTTTCTTCTGACTTCATCAAGTTTTTCTAAAGAACGTTCAAGTGGCTTCATGCCCAAGTGCTGAAAGACGGGAGAAGGGACATTAGTCTCTAAACAAACGAGCGAACTGATTATCCCACTTTTGCAAAAGCAGCAAGTGCCGAAAACGCTGCATCCCGTACTTCTGGAGTCCCATCATTTAAGCTCTAAAGAAACCTTTTCAAGTAAAATATAGCATATTGCAGCGACCATAGTACCTCCATAAGAATGGGAACGTAATCTTTGTGTAACTTCATCACAGTGAGCTTGGTATTGTTCTCAATGCAGAATGTCACCCAGTTCAAACACGAAGACCGCACCGAAGGAACCTTATTCTTTGTAGCCACTCTGACATCTGGTATTCTAAGGTCAGTGTTCGTGAAATTTAATTCAAGGTCTGGCTCACCTTCGATTACATCCGCGAGAGCCACACAACCACCTGTGTGCATGCTTTGAAGAGTTTGCATCAATGCATCGACCACCAATTGTTTTTTCTCTTTAAGCTTGTCCTGTTCATCCAAAAAAAAAAACACGAAAGAAGCGCAAAAAAGGATCAGCACAACCGCTACAACGATGGACTTCGAAAGTCCTTTACTAACATCGTTACCAGCAAAACAGGAAGCAGAATTCTTGAACAAACAGTGAAGTCCTTACGGAGACCTGAAGCAAGATTTCCAGCTGCTTGAATAGCCTCCACAGCAACCGCAATATTTACATCCGTTATAAGCTGAAAACCATTGTCAGATAACATCAGGCAGCTTACACAATCTGTTACCTTTTTTAAAGTACGGCAAATTTCTGTGTAATCGCCAGCAGCAAGTCTTTTTGCAGACGCAAGCTTAGTAAGTTCGGCAACTGCATCGCGCCTCTCAGACCATTTTGCAGCTTTCTGAAAAGGAGGAACATGCATTATCACCTAGGCCATTATTCAGCTTGCTTACCACTCCATCCCAAAATGATGACTTTCCCAGTGGAGTTAAAATGTCGACAGGGTCGACCAGATCATATTCGTCTATATCTTGCACTCCTGTATAACATGCATCGCACTTGTAAGCAGCAAACAAACGTTTTTTCAATTACCAGTAGGGGACGCTTCATCTGCTGGCGGGGCACCCGGCGATTCTATTGCTGCCTCTTGTTCAACCTCTCTCGTCTGCTCGGATCTGGCATAGACGAGATAATCTTGAGTCTCAGGTTTCAAACGAGATAACTTAATACCTTATTTTGCGCGTCGGTTTTGAGACGCCTGTTACGTTGTCCATCTCAGCCTCTATCTCTTTTTTCTGTGACGTAAGTATTAGCAACTACAACAGAGGAGATTGATTACCATTGTATCTCGCATTTTCTCAAAGAGAATGGATTTGACGGAGTCTTTTCCTATCCACCGGCATAACTCTATAGTTAGTCCCTTGGCCGAAGCTCTTACATTCTGGTCTTGATGATCAAAAAGTTCAGGGAGAATTCTAAGTATCCTTTTCGGAGGAATTATCTTAGTCCCAAATTCACTGCATTCAAGAAAGCAGATGGTTCAAGAAAAAACCTCTATTACGAAAAGGAATGCTGCCATCACCAACCTGAGAGCTTGATACATAACATCAATCGCTGGCACAACAGCCTTCGCTACCTTGTTCTTAATAGCTTTTTCCATCGTATCCTGAAAGGAAAAAAAAAATGATGACAACCAAACCTGCAGAGAGAGAACTAGAACCAACCAGGAAAACATCCGATGCTTCAAGCTCCACCCACAACATGAATGCCGCTTGTGCCTTTTCAATGGTTTTCGGACGGCCAGTGAGGCACTTGGCCGCAATAGAATCGCAAACCTCTTTAGCATACCTGGGTGACGAAAAGAATTTCCAAACCTGAAAGGCCAAGGAAGAGAAAAACAAAAGCAGTACCTAGAAACATCAGCGTCGGCAGCTCTCAGAAAACCTATCAAAGCATCCAACGCCTTTTCTTGTACCGCAGCATTCGAATCGGCCACACTCTTTTTAAATAAAGGCCCTGGAATCACGAAAACTTACTGTTGAGCAACCCAAATGTGCGTGGGAGAAGAACTAGAACTCACCGAATTCCCGCAGCCGTGGATCCTTAGGATCCATAATGCTGTCACACACGCCCGCAAGATCGATGCACCCATCGTTCCTAACCTTCCAATTCTTGTGCGTCAATCTGTCCTCCCACGGCAGCTTCTTCGCCTCCTTGAGGAGCTTCTCGTCCTCCGACATTGCCGTAGATCTTCCTCACATCCACCTCAAAACCCTTTCTCCAGAGCTCCGGCAGCCGGATCGCCGGAAGAAACCAGCTTATCGACTGCCGAATTCGCTGCGCTCCAAGGATCTTGTGCGATGCGCCTGGATCGATGGCGCCTACCTGCCTCGCCTGCCGGATCCTGGAACCCTAGGACGCAATAAAAGAGAGGGAAAAGAATGGAGGCCGGCCCAACACACACAAACGTTAGCCTAGCATTAGAAATGCCGAAATCTAATGACCTTGTTCTTCCCAGGCGGCGCACAGCCGTCGATGCACCGCATCCGACGCTCCAGATCGTGTCACGGCCCTCGGCGGTGCCATTTGGGCCACAAGCATTTGGTGGCCGCTCTGGTTGTACGGAGTGGCCCATCGAGATACTTTATTCTTTTTTTCTTGCTATGAGAGGCCATGGAAATCGCAAACGCTGGCGTGTAGTTTTCTCGATCACGACCAATAGCTAAGGGGACTTCGCTTTCACTGAAGAACAAGAGCTAATTTTTCTTGGTGGGTCGACTGTCGATCTCTTCGGGAAAACGATGATGGTGGTGTTTGATCCAGGCAGCCTTACTGCCAATCCCCAACTCCAGCAAGCCCTCGCCCGAATGGAGCAAGATCGATCAATCGACTACACGGACTACGCAAAACTCCTCAAGCAGTGTGGAGATTCCAAATCCCTCGAGGACGGAAGGCTCGTCCACACGCACATCCAAACCAATGGCCACGTCCACAACAGATTCCTCACGAACCACGTCATTCACATGTACGGAAGATGCGGCAGTGTGGAAGATGCCCGCAAGGTCTTTGATTCCATGTCCGCCCCAAACGCGCATTCCTGGAATATCATGATCACGGCATATGCCCAGAACGGGCATCTTAACGAGGCGAGATGCCTCTTCGCCCAGATGCCCGACCTGGATGTTGTCACATGGAACGGAATGATCACGGCCTATTCTCAGAACGGGCATCCCAGAGATGCCCTCGGGATCTACTTCACCATGAACTTGGAGGGTCTCCGGCCCAACAAGGTGACGCTCATCACCATTCTAAACGCGTGCTCCAAGCTCGGGGATTGGCACCAGGGCAGGATCCTCCACGACCAGATCGTCACCACCGGGTACCTCGCTGACGTCATGGTCGCGACTGCGCTGCTCGACATGCACGGAAAATGCGGCCGTACAGAGTACGCGAGGCGTGTGTTTGATGCGATGCCGGGCAAGAACGAGGTATCTTGGAGCGCCATGATATCGGCATATGCCGTGAACGGGCATATGCTCCAAGCTGGGAATCTTTTCCGTGCGCTGCCCGAGTGGAACGTGGTGGCGGCCACGGCCATGGTCCAGGGATATGCCCTGAAAGGGAATCTCGACACGGCCAAGGGAATGTTCGACGAGATGCCGTGGAGGAACGCTATCTCGTGGAATGCCCTCATGGCGGGATATGCCCAGAATGGGCAGGGCGACACGGCCGTCGATCTATTCCGGCGCATGGATCTGGACGGTGCACAGCCGTGTACGGTATCGGCCGTCATCGCCGTGGACGCTTGCACGGACACGGGCGCCATGGCTCAGGGCCGTGCCGTACATTGGAGCCTCCGCGAGTGTGGGATGGACGCCGACGTAGCGGTCGCGAATTCTCTCGTGAATTTCTTCGTGCGCTGCGGCCGGATCGACGAGGCGATGGGGATTTTCGGGGGAATCCGGCGCAAGAATGTGGTATCGTGGACGGGCGTGATGATCGCCTTCGCACAGCAGGGCGATGTCGATGAGGCGATGCGCGTCTTCTTCGTGATGCAAGCCGAGGGAGTGGAAGCGGACGAGATCGCCTTCATGATAATCCTGGGCGCTTGCAGCCACAGCGGCGTTCTAGAGGATGGAATCCACTGCTTCACCTCCCTGGTCCAGGATTACAAGATCCGGCCGGAGCTGGATCACTACCTGTGCATGATCGATCTCCTGGGGCGATCGGGGCTGCTGTTCGAGGCCGAGGATCTCATCAACACGATGCCGTTCGAGCCCGATGCGGTGGCGTGGAGGATCTTGCTCAATGCGTGCCAGATGCATGGGAAATCCGAGGATGGAGCCGCGGCGGCGATGGAGCTCTTTGGCATCAATGGCAAGGAGCGAAGCTCCTCGCCATACGTGATGATTTCAAATATGTGGAGGAAGAAGTCCAAGAAACCCTAGCGCGCTGGCGATGGCGATGGCGGAGGAAGATTTTGGCGACGCGGAGCTCTGGGCCGCGATCGACAGCGCCGCTGCTGCGAGGTATGGCGGGGACAGATCGATTGTTGTTTCCTCTCGATTCCAGCAGCAGCAATCTCCTCCCGCTCGGCGGCATCCACTCGTGGAGCTCCCGCCCTCTCCGCAGCAGCAGCCGGGGCTAGGACTAGGCTACATTGTGCCGCGCATGGCTGCTAGATCCGACGCCATCGCCCCTCCCTCTCTCAAGCGCCAGCAGTCGCATTTTCCCGATGGCCACATTCCAGTCAGGCAAAAGCAAAGCTCGTATCTTGGGAGTATCGTGGCTCGCGACGCTGGGCGTCCAAGCTCCTCCTGGACGAATCAAAACGAGAACCAGCAACCCAGCACTACCAATCACAACGTTTCGCCGTGGATGCCACAGCAGGAGATCCCTTCTTCGACTGTTTTTCGGCAGCTCCAGGACGCAGCCATGGCGGTAACCATGATTTCTTCTTTCTGTGACTTCCTTACCAGCTTTTTTCTCTTTTCTTCTCGGCTAGATCTTGGAGAAGGGAGACTATCTCATGATGCAAGGGAAGCCATTCATTCGAAAGTCTGGTCAGTTTTTTTCTTTCTCGTCTTGAACCGAAGCAAGGATTTAATCTCTCGTTTATGCGTGTGTGCCAGGATGGAGGAAGATCGCTTTCTTTTTCAGCATTTCTTTCGAGATCAAGGAGAGGAAAATCGAGTATGATCAAAACACAAATGTTCTTCGTGCCGAGTTTGTGGTCAGAGCGTCTATGCAGTACGTATGCCCGTTTTTCTTCCTTTGCTATAGTATGTACGAGACACTTGCAGATCCGGGAGGTTTTCTGACGGGTGGGGGTCTTGCGACTTGAGAGAGAAGAGATTCTCTAAACCAAACCATGATATTCCAAGCACAGCAGAAACAAGAGCCAAGACTAGAGCTTGCCAGGTTCTTCTCTGAAATTTTCTCTATGATGTCATTTATTGACTTGACATCGCTGTGATCAGGATCTACTCGGCATTGGTGAATACAAGTCTGGTGGAAACATTTAGCCTTCAGGTTGGTTCTACGACACAACTCTTCCTAAGCGTATAACTCTTTAGCCAGCCTTGGCGTTGCAGAAACCATGAGATTTTTGTTTCTGCGTGTCGCTCCGCCCGTTGACTCGCCCATATCAACCTCTCGTCCTTCGAGAGTTGCCAGATCAAACGCCTGAATCACAGTGGCGACTGAGAGCGGAAGCATCCTCATGGCCATCAGGTATCCAGCACAGGTCCTCCTTCCCGCACCAAATGGCAGCAACGAGAAGTCATCTCCAGTGAGCTTGACATCTCGCTCCAAGAATCTCTCGGGCACAAACTCCAGTGGCCTGTCCCAGGTTGACGGGTCCCGGCCGATAGCCCACGCGTTGACGAAGATGGTGGATTTAGCAGGAATGTCGTACTCGCCGATCTTAGAAGCAGCGGGATTGTGGTGAGGGAGCAGCAGTGGGAGTGGCGGGTGCAACCTCAAGCTCTCCTTGATAACAGCGTGAAGATAAGGCAGCCTTGGAAGGTCGGATTCTTGGACGAGCCGAGATGAACCGACGACTTGGTCGATCTCCTTCTGAGCCCTGGACAGGATAGCAGGATGGCGAACTAGCTCGGCCAGTGTAAAGTCGATGGAGGTTTGGGACGTGTTTATTCCGGCAATGAAGAAATCCTGGCAGAAGAGAAGAACCAAGATCAGGCTCGACCAAGGAAGGAACAAGACTTACGCTGAGAAGCCCGATCGTCTGGATGTGGGTGAGACCATCCTCCCCATTGAGATTGACGAGCACGTCGACAAAGTCCTCGACTTCCCGCGACGAGCTCTTGTGGTGCGCGATGATCTTCTCCATCAGGCTCTTGATCGGCGGCATCACCACGTACTTGAACCTGCGCTCCAGGCCTTGAACGTCAAAGCGCCTGAGGAACGGGAAGAGGTCCCCGAGGTTGACATTCAAGAGCTCTTCGCCAGCCTTCTCGAAGATCCCATTGAGCGACCGTGCATCGATTCCCAGGCTCTTATCATCGGTGCCGACGAGAAGGTTGACGACGCCTTGGACAACAGCGGCATTGGTGGCAGCAGTGAGATCTACGACTTCCGGCCCCTCGTCCAAGATGTTCTTGATCATCGCCTTCACCTCCCGGTGCCGGACGGAAGCGGTGGTGTTGAGCTTGGAGGGCGTGAAGAGATGCGTGGCCGAGACTCGCCTCATGAGCTTCCAGGTCTCCCCGTAAGGCGCGACGCCGAGATCATTGTAGTCGAAGCTGATCTGCCGGAGGTTGCCAAGGTCTGGCCGGGACGCAAACTCCAAGTCGCGGGACTTGAGCACCTCTCTCGCGGCGGCGGCACTGTTGATGGCGACGGTGGGAACCATTCCGAGCTTGAAGTAGACGACGGGGCCATACTTTCGGCCGAGCTCCGCGAAGAAGATGGGGAGAGGCTCCTTGACGATGAAGAGGGAGCCGACGATCGGCCAGGGGAATGGTCCTGGAGGAAGCTTGAGACGCGCTCGAAGATTGCGAGACCACCAGAGGAGGATGAGCAGTGCTAGAGCTAAGAACCAAGCGCCTTCCATGAGAGTATACAGTGTTCTAAGGCTCCAAAGGGGTTTTTTTATCTCCTTCTCTTTTGTCTTCTTTGGACAAGACTCGAGTGGAATCGAATCTTCATTGTTTTAGTTTGGCACTCGACTATCAAGCTATACTATCAAAGGTGGAGCTTGTTCATGACTTCTTGCTCCAAGCAAACGTAAGCAATCACATCACCCTCTCTTCGCGCTGGGAAGTAGTAAACTTTGCCATCTTCGATCACGGGAAAGATGGCCACTCCGCAAGCTCTGCCGAATCCAAAGTCCTGGAAAACCGGGAAGTAGAAGGAGCTCCCGACATTCACATCCTTGTCCAGCGCCAATCTCGGCATCACTGTAAACTCGCCACCGCGAGAAGATCCAACCAACTTGCAGTAGAAACTCACCTCCTCCTCGTCACTGCTCTGGATGATCTTCTCCTTGACAAGCCGAGCTCCTCGCTCCAATCCTTTGTGGGAGAGTAGCTCCCCAGCGCTGGTGGAGGTCCTAGCCATCATGGCCGCCTCGCCAACGTAGCCGGCCGGGAGAGCTTTGACTTTCCCGCGGCAGTTGACCGCGAAGAACAGTGCCGTTGACTCGCGGTCGTGGAGTTGCCTCGCGCGGCAGATCTCCCTCCAGATGTGGGCGGTGAGGAGCTGGAAGGTGGTGAGCCCGGGATTCTCCCGCTTGAGCGATCCAATCTCCTCCTTTGCGAAAGAGAAGCATTTCATGGCGGTGGTGGAGCTTGGATCGTTGCCGTGAGGGGCGGAGAAGTTGCGAACGACGTCCGAGTTCTTCCACAGCATGAAATCCGGTGGGAGCTCGATCTCCAGCTTCTCGTCGCGCGGGAGAATCGCGATGGTGGATGGAGTTTCCATGACCACCGGCTCCAGCGACGGGGATTCGCCGCGGCTTATCTCGGACCACGACTTGACGAAGTGCCATGCTCCGGTCCCATCCAGGACTTGGTGATTGAACTTCACGGAGATGCAAATCCCACCGCATGCGAATCTCGTCACCTTGCATCACAGGAGAGGAGAAATCGTTTTCATACTTTTGTGAATGCTTGCTTGCTTACCTGTGTGATGAATAGAGGATGATCCAAAGTCCATGGCCACTTGAGAAGATGATCTCCAGTTTGTGCCAGATCCAGGAGCATTCTCAGCGGGATTCCCACATAGTGGCCATTCACCTCGTTCTTTGCAAGCTCGTCAAGAGAGACTCCCGCGACCGCCTCGATGAAGAGCACTCCTTTTCCATTGCAGACAAGCTCCATTCCACCGCCATCTTCCTTGACCAGCAATCTCCCAGCGATGGGATAAAACCCGGTGAGCGCCTTGCCGAGGGAATCCTTAAGCTTCGCTACAATGTCGTCGAAACAAGGAGGATCATCGACTGGATTCTTGAAGAAGAGAAAGCGAGTTCTGTAAGGCAGGAACCATGTCATATGCGAAAGAGCCGAGGGGATAAGCTTGGCAATAGGAGACTCGAGCTTCTCCCGTGGAGGAACCAAGCAACTGTTCTTCACCACCACTTTCGAGTGGATCAGCTTGGATTCCATCTCGTGGGCTTTTCCAAAACGATTACTCTTTTAACCTCGTAGATCTCCCAGTGCCCCACGTTTTGTTCGTGGATCGACCGACACTGCTTTAAACGTGTTCCTTTGTGACCTTCAGCTTTTATGGCAAAAAAGTTGGCGTGTAAAGATGACAGTGACTCCATAGCCAAGAACTTACGAGTTCTCCTGTGAAACGGGATTGCGATGCCACGCAACGCTACCCTGGATTATCTTTCTTGTCCACGTAGAGATTGAAGAGCAACACGTAAGGAGCATCACTCCCGGGATCCAGCTCCAGCAACCTCCTCGCAACTCGACCACCCCGCTTGAAATCTCCATGAACTTTGCAAGCGGCCAGCAGCGCTTTCCACTGCATGATTCTCTCCGCGGCGTCATCGGGAGAGATCTTGTCCACCATTCTCTCGGCCTCCTCCAATCGCCCAGCTCGTCCCAGGAGATCGATCATGCAGCCCAAGTGCTCGCTCGAGGGGGTGATCCGGTAGTCGGCGATCATCGACGAGAGGTTGTAGACCGCGTCGTCGAGGCGACCAACGTGGCCGCAAGCCGCGATGGCGCTCACGAAGGTGATGCTGTTGGGCCTCTCCCCGGCTTGCTTGAGCGCGTTGAAGAGCTTGAGCGCTTCCATGGCGTGGCCGTGCTGCGCGTAGGCGGAGATCATCGTGTTCCAGCACAGGATGCTCTTCCCGGCAATGCCATCGAAAGTGGATCTCGCGAGGCCGAGAGCTCCACACTTCCTGTAAGTGGTGACGAGCGCCGTGCCGGTGATGACGCTCACGCGAATCCCACTGGCGAGGATCCGCGAGTGGAAGCTTTTCGCCATCTGCAAGCTCGAGGACGCCTCCAGCACGCTGACGAACGAGACCGCATCGTGCTTGATCCCATCCAGATCGAGCTCCCAGAAGAGCTGGAGCGCTTCTCTGTGATGCCCGTTCTGCGCATACGCAGCCATCATCGCAGTTCGCGACACCAAGTTCATCGCTTCCAATCTCTCGAACGAGCGCCTGGCTCGATCGACGTGACCGCATTTGCCGAGAGCAAAGACGAGAGCCGAGACCACGGTTTCTGCCGAAGAAATCGAGCTCTCGCTTCCCTCGATTCGGGAGTGGAGAATCTCGCAGCAAAATCTATCCCCGAGACCAGCACAGGCCTCCAAAAGAACAGTAAAGGTGACACAATTTGGTTTCACTCCTTCCAAATCCATGCTCTTGAGGAGCTCCAGCGCTTCTTTGTAATGCCCAGTATTGGCAAATGCCGAGATCATAGCAGTCCACGAGACAACGTTCCTCTCTTTGATCCAACCAAACGCCGCGATGGCTCGATCGATTCTCTCAAGCTTCCCGTGCATATGTACAATCGCGGTGCCGACGAAAACATCGGATTCAAGCCCCGCCTCGATGATCCTCGCCTGGATCTCCATACCGTACTGCCCAAGCGCGCCGTCCGTACACGCCTCCACGATGGTGGTGAAGGCGTGCTTGTCGGGTCTCACGCCGCCGAGCTCCATCCACCGGAAGCACAGCACGGCGTCGCGGAACCTGGCGTTGGCGGCGAATGCCGCGGCCATGATCGTCCAGGAGACGACATTCCTGGCATGGATCGTCTGGAAAATGGCGCACGCGCTCGCGAGATCCCCCATCTTGCCATACATTGCCACCAAGAGATTTGGGAGGAGTGTGTCGCGATGGAATCCAAGCTGCGCGATCGATGCACGGATGATCTTCGCTTGCCACTGGTGCCGGCATTCTTTTATCGCTGCTACGCACCACGCCCTCGAGGATCCAAGTTGCATACAAAAGAAAAATGGTTGCCACGTGGCAGATCGACGCCTCGTCAATTATCCACGTAGATGCCACGTTAAAAATAAATTAAAGTTGATAACATTAATCCAACGGTTCTGCTTTAAAACGTCCTCTCTCCTCGGCGCTTCTTCCAAGATCACTGGTTCGTGCCTTACATGACTCACCTTCTCTTCTTCCCAAAGCCTCCTCCTCATCTCTCCTTAGAGGCCGTTTTAGCAAATCTCAAGACCTCTTTTGTCAAGGCGCTGCTGGAGTTTTACCCTTTGGCGGGCAGATTGGTTGTGAGTGAAAGCGAGAATGGACTTGTGGTTTGCAATGAGAAAGACGCCCTCTTCATTGAAGCCAGTGCTACTAGTGAAGTGAGTGGTCTCATTCGCTATGAAGTATATGGAGCTCTTCTTCGCTCATGAGTCTGATCATGGTATCGGAGCAAATGGGAGAGCGATCTGAGCAATCCTTCGAGACTGGATAGCGTTTGGGACGATTGAGCGGATTGGTGGGGCTGACCAATGGCTGCGTCAGCTTCCAATTCAGTCGATGTGGTGGCAGTGGATAGGTTGGATTGGCGAGAAGCATGCTGAGGCTGCTCCGCCGGAGAAAGATTGACGACCCATCTTCGTTTCCTTCTTCGTCTTTCGGGGACGAAGGCTCCAAATGCCATAAGTGGTGAGGGCGTAGTGTTGCAATCAGCGGTTTTGTGACAACTCCCACCACCTTATAGAAAACGAAGTTTTATGATCCTTGCTAGGGCCTTTCCTGTTTCTGTAATGACTAATTCCTTCTTTCTGGACTCAGCCGCCACAGATCACATGGTATGTGACGATTCTCACCTGGAGGATTATCGCCCTACCGCAGGTGATCGTGTCCTCGTGGGGAATTCGGCTAGCATCCCAGTTCATGGAACAGGCACACTTGTAATCCACATGCCCGAGGGGTTTGGAAAAATGCCACGCAAACCGTTTCCTGCTGGTCGTGCTCATCGTGCTCGCGAGAAAATGGAGCTAGTCCACACCGATATCTGTGGTCCCATGCAGACGCTTGGACGAGGTGGTTATCGATATTTTCTCACATTTATCGATGATCTTTCTCGCTACACAGTGGTGTATTTTCTACGCTTCAAATCTGAAGCTTTACAGCATTTTCTCCAGTTCAAAGCTGTTGACGAGACACGAACTGGGCAGCTCTTGAAACGACTCGGGTGTGATGGAGGTGGTGAGTACACATTCAATGAGTTCAATCGAGTTTGCCAAGAGGCTGGCATTCTTTGTGAATTCACAGTTGCATATTCTCCTCAGAAAAACAGGAAGAATCACACGTTGATGGAAAGTGCACGTGCAATGCTACAGGTTAGTGGCCTTCCTAAGTCCTTTTGGGTTGACGCTATTAGCCTTGCTAACTACGTCCAAAATTAATTACCTACAACCGCTGTGGATGGAAGAACTCCTGAGGAGGCCTGGACTGGCAGAAAGCCCTTGGTGGCACACTTGCGTATTTTTGGCTGTGAAGCTTGGGCTCATGTGCCTGCACAGCTGCGAAGAAAGCTTGATGCAAAGAGCATTGAATGTAAATTCTTGGGTTACAGCTTGGATCATGCTGCTTGGCATCTCTGAAATCCTGCTACACAGAGATCATCAGCAGGGATGTGAACTTCAAGAAAGAGCCCCTACTCAGATCGTCTCGCAGCTTACCTGGTCCAAACACTGTGGGAGACTCTTCAACGGTAGGAGATCCTCCTGAGGAGCTTCTAGTAGGCTCTGTGACCATTCCTGTGACATATCCACCTGCTGCCCCCATTCCTACGGTGGACCACGCGCATAGGGAACCAGTCCCAAGCTTCAGCTGATTGGGCGGCAGATAACTCGTAAATCCCGATTAGGTTTTCAATTTGGGCATCCTTGAGCAGCAATCGATGGTAGCAACTTGAAGCACAGAGGCTGAGTACTTCTCACACGCAGTTAAGAACTCGTTTGGCTCAGGGCTCTACTTGCGGAGATTGGTATTTTTCAGCAAGGTCCAACGAGGCTGTGGTGTGACAACCAGAGCTGCATCACCCTGGCTGCTAACCCTCGCTACCATTGCCGCACCAAGCATTTCGATATTTATCATCACTTTCTTCATGAGAAGACTAAAGAGGAGATTCTCGAGCTAGCATACTGTGCTACACATGGTGGCTGATATTTCACCAAGCCATTGGCTTATGATCGCTTTCTTCAGCACCGAGCTAGGTCTTGAGTGAGAGTCGAGGCTTCAGTGGGAATGTTGAGGATGGTGAATCCTCGCTCTCTCCACATCAGTACCACGTGGCATCCAAGGTCACGCCTCATGGCAGTTTGTCATATGACCCTCATTCGCTATGAAGAATATGGAGTTCTTCTTTGCTCACGAGTCTAATCAAATGACAATCAACATTCTCAAATGCGACTGGAGCTCTCATGATCCTAGAAGTATCAGAAGGCCAAGATTGAGCTTCAAACAAATCAACTCCATCCAGGGCTGAATCTAGTTATTGCCAATATTCATCACTACACTAACATAAATGACATTTTTCAAGGAAAGGATGGCTCAAGTGATTACAAGGAGGAGAATATAGTGGCAATATGATTGGAAGGGTGCCAAACAAAAGACAGAGAACTGGGAGCAAATGGAATTTAGTGGATCATGTGTGTTTGATGTATGGGAATGTTTGTTGCAATGAATGATGTGGATTTGGACACTTTGCTATTAACTATCTGAGCCAAAAGGATTGCAAATGAAAGAGGAGAAAGATGGCGATCTTAATAGTATTTCTTTTTCTTAAAATTTATCCTCTGTCTGCAGATTATGCTGAGCTGGGCAAATCTCAAAATTCAAATTGGCTTCTAGATAGCGGCACTACACACCAAATGATGTTGAATAAAATGTTCCTCCAAAAAATAAGTTTTAAAACATTTTCTGCATTTCTGCATATAGCAAGTGGTGAGGCTTTAAGAATAATAGCTTTTTTTTTTTCCTTGCTTTCAGCTTGAAATTTTTACTATTTTATATGTTTTAACCACAAATTTCATTCTCATCACACATGGATTGTTCAAGCGATGGCTAACAATGGCCTTTATTTTATTTCTCTTGATTCTCCAAGTGAATGTTGTCTCTATTACTGATGACTCAATTTTACAGTTATGGCATCTACAATTAGGACATCCAAGTTTTAGGCAAGTCAACCTTAGCTAGTAGGGGGGATACTAAACTTTCATGTGAAAGCTACTTGTACATGAAAATGAAGAGGAAACCATTGCTCAAGAAAGCTTCCACTAGTAAATTTGTTTTAGACTTGATTCATGTCAATATCTAGGAACTATCACCATTAAAATCGTTAAACAATCAATACTTGATACTTTCTACTAATTATGGATGATTTTAGTCATATCACTGCTGTTTGTTTTCTAAAGTAGAAATCTGATATTCCTCACAAGTTTTTTGAGTGGATTCAGGAGTTGGAGAACTCACTTGGAATGCACATTAGAAACTCAAAGCTCATGGAGGATAAGAACTTCTCTCTGCAGAATTCCACACTATCCTCACATCACGTAGCATATCACTCCAAACCTCTATGTCATATGATCACAGCCAAAATGGGGTTAAGGAGAGATAGATGCTTACTATTCTTGATGTAGCAAGAGTGATGCTCAAAGCCATGAATGTTCTAACGTCCTTCTAGGCAAAGGCTATACATACAACCGTGCACATTCAAAATGTTGTTCCAACAAAAGCCATACTAAGAAAAACACTACAAGAAATATAAACAAGTACCAAACCTTCTTTTGCATACTTACATGCGTTTGGATGTGTAAGTTTTGCATATGTTTCAGCTGAAGAGAGATGTAATAAGTGGGAAGATCAATCAACAAAATGTATGATGCTAGATTATAGTGAGAATACAAAAGATGGCAAAGTATGGATCGTTAGTCAAAAGAAGGTGTTCGTTTGGTGCACTATTTTCTTTTGTAAAACAATTATAGTATACTCTATATTTTCATATAGTCACAAGAAAAATTCAAAATATTTTTAAATTCAGTTCTAACAAATATGAGGATTCAATTATACCCCTAGAAGGCCCCATTCCAGATATAAATCAATGAGAATTGTAATTTCTTTAATGACTCCAACATAGGGAATGTTGAGGGTACAATAACAGATGACTTGGAACAAGATAAATCTAAAAATATGTCAACAATAAGAACTTTTCCCAGATGATCTTCTTGCTTGTGAAAACCAACAAAGAATACTTTGAGGTATATGATCAAGTTATATAAGTCACCGCCAATGCTAGAGGAAGCATTTTCCAGCCTTTAATGTTTTCATTGAAAAGTAGCAATGTAGTTAGGGTACAACACACAGTTAGAAAATAATTCCTAAATATAAAATTTTGACATAAATATTATGAGGCACAGTTTTTAAGACGAGTTTCAAAGTATGAAAGAGTACAATTGGATTATAAATATTCATAACATAGTTAGGACAAAGAACTTGTAGCATCACAAAATGTTCCAAAGGAGGCAATGATTATACAATGTAAATGGGTACACAAATTCAAGTACTAAGAATTTAAGTGAGATTGATCAGTATAAGGTGAGGTTAGTAGCAAAATGCTACATACAATGAATCAGGATTAATTACAATGAGAATTTTTTCACTTGTGGTTAAAATGGTTTCTATATGACTAATTCTTATTATAGTTAACCATTTGGATATTGAAGTTGAACATATAAACATTAAAAACGTGTTAGAACACCTAATGTATATACATCAGCCTCATGTGTGTGGAAAAAAACAATTTTTTTAGCAAACTTTAGTGGTCTAT